CAAATTTTACTAATCCTAGAAAAACATATTAACATTTAGTATTTATTTTCAAATAATTTTCAATCAAAAAAAAAAAAAAAAGGATATAATTTGAATGCTATTTGATGCATGTAGAGTTGCATGAGAAAATGTCCTAATTAACTTAACATTAAACCAAAATTTATGATAATTCTGATTTCCCGGTTTTCGAGGTTGGCTATGAAACCTGATAATGTAGCTTGACCATAAGGTTATAATATTATGATAAAAGAACATCTTTTTCATATGTGGTTGAATTAAAGCAAATCACATTTGGACATATAGTTGTTTAAGGATACATCAGATTTATGGAGCTTTAATATTAAAAAAAAAAACTATTAAAGACATTATTGGCTAGCCACGGGAGTTAAAGAGGAGATATGCTCATTGTCAAATGTCCGGACAATTTCAAAAAAAAAAGAGAACAATATTCATAATTTAACATTTTATTCTCTCTTCAACATTCTGAATAAAGTAAAAAACTACAACCACAATGGCAGAAATTTAAAAAAATTCAGATGTAAAAATTAAAGGGTTTTACAATGACATAAAAAAAAAAAAAGATTATAGACAGAAAAAATAAAAACAATTACTCCATTTTGATGGGTGACTTAAATTCAAAAGCAGAGACAAGATAGAGAATGCAATATAAAAAAACTTGGAATAGGAAATGATGAAAGATGCAAAAGGATAGTTAACTTCTTAGAGATACAAACTGACAATATACATTTTTTTTAAAAGAAAAGGACTTGGAAAATCTCAAATGAGAAACAAAAATATAAAATTGATTTCATAATTACTGACAAACCTATATCTTTAAAGACAGAACTGTCAATGTGATAAAGAAAGAGTAGGATGCAAAAATCCAGGTCTTCATCCAGTTTACATGCTGCCCACATTGCAATTCCCTTGGTAACAAACAAGAGTTTTTAAAGAATTCTACAAGACATTATTGTTTACAATTGGCTGGAAATGAAAAATTTGCATGCTTACACTTATAATCCATATTACACAGGAGTGTTTTGACTGAGGAGGTAAATTGTCATTTTCTTCGCATAATGTCATTAAGAAGCGATCATAGAATGGTGGCTTGGATAGTAAAATTGATCCTAAACAAAAAAACAAGTGAACATAAAATCAGAGAGAACATCAAATTTCGGGTAGAATTCAAGAACCCCTCCCCCCAGGCTTTGTGGAATATTATAAACAACGTAGAAGATATGGATAGCAATTTGGCATAATAAAGAAATCAGCAGAGATAACAAGAAAAACAAATGGAAATAGGAAAAAAAAAAAAACAAAAAAAACAAAAAAAAACAAAAAACAAAAAAACAAATGGAAATACTTATAGTCAATAAAAAAAGTGATGAAAAAAAGGAGAAATAATATGGTTATAAATACTGAAAGGTAAAAGTGAAAATGCAGAATTGAACTAATCAATGAAAAAATACAAGGAGGAAAAAGAAAAAAATGAACCTGAAAAAGATAGAAGCTATCGGAAAAGGAAAGAATTTGAAACATTCTTGATCTGCATTCTAGATAGATAAACAGCAAAAAGCTAAAATACAGAAATGTGAAGTTACTAAATGTAAGAACTGGATGTTAAGAATAACTAAGGAATACTACGCTAACCTGTATACTTAAAAAAAATCTTTTAAAAATACTACAAAAAGCTAATTTAGTAGATACTATTTATGCTTCATAAATAACAACAAGTGAATTAATATTTGCATTTCAAAATATTAAACAAAAAAGCATCAAGCAAAATGGAATAGTAACAGAAATTAAAAATGCAGGAGAAGATCTCCACAAAGTAATTGAATATCTATTTTCTTTTCTCAGTAGATTTAGAAAAGAAAGGGACCTCAAAACTTCAGTCTAACAATAGTAATTCTACTTAATAAAAAATGAGATAATAAAGATATTGGCAAATGTCACCTCATTATATTACTATTGAACATATATAAATTATTTTAAAAAGTACTTACAAAGAGACAAACAAAACAACCAAGATGAAAATCAGTCATGCAAACAAACAACAGTGTTTAACTCCCCAATGAGAAGTTATTAAAGAAAATTATTGGAAATATATATGGCAATTAAACTTTTCAAACATGGTGAAGATAAATCTCAATTTTTTACAGCATGCTTTGCAAATATCTTCTGGAAAATGTTTATCAGAATGTAGGGATGAATTAAAAGTAATGTGAAAAGACAAAGGAAAGTTCAAGAACTAACAAATTCAGGAATACATCTACTTAGGGCAGGTGATAGAATTAAAGACAGACCATGAAAATAAGATGATTTATAACAGTGGGTTGGAAAGCATTTAACAGGCACATAATGAAAAGTTTATTGACAATATGCCTAAAACAATGTATAATGTTAACAATAGCTACCAAATATGGAAATTAACAAAATTGTTTAAAAGCAAAGTTAGGAACAAGTGAAGATCCATGGAAGGAGCAATTCTAGGAATAACTTAGAGAAAGAAAAAGATCAATATGTAACAAGAAGACCAGCGTAAGAGATATCATCAATGTGATTAAGCAACAAAGATGGGGGTGGTTAGGTCACATAGCAAGAATAAAGGATAATAGATAGAGCAAAAAATTGGTTAATTGATGCCCAATGGATAGCAAATGCAATGGGGAAAATACCAGACAGAGAGATAGGTTTACTGGTAAGACATGAATAGAGAATAAAACAGTCTTGGTAATCAGGTAAATACTAAATTATTATAAAGTAGTGCTGGGGCTTTTTTAATCTCAGAATTCGTTGGAGAATCAAGCTCCAATTTTGCATTTATTCATATAGATTCTATAAGTTTTACTTAATTAGCTATTATGTCTCTCTAACTTTTCAAATGTTGAATGTATAAGTAATTCTAATTTCTATTTTCCCATCTTTAACACTATATTAATTTTATCTTATAAATTGTCTCCTGTTCTGTCACCCATGAAATAAAAATAATTGTTTATACAGAAAATAAGAATATACGTATATCAAATCATCTTTAAATTAAGTGGCAGCAGAAAAATTATCGTTGAACTTTTAAAAGGCAAGCTTAAACATTAATTCAATACTTAAATGTAGCGATCAATTTTGAGTTCTTCTGTAGTTTATTGATGCCTATTGCATCTATTCCTTCCTGGCTATTGTGATGATGGCCAAACCAAGAGTCCTCCATAAGAGGTAGCTTAAAATTTTAAGCTAGCTGCAATTTTGGATACAAAAGGAAAAATAAGAGTTACTCTCCTTGAACCATGAAACCAATGATAATGGATAATATAATATATATTTTTACACTCACATAATCTGGCAACCCTGAATCTGAGCACAATGAAAATTGTACCCTGCACCTAACTTTTCTAGGGCTTTTGAATGAGCTATGAATCATTGAAATCAGACCAATGAGAGTAGAGGAGTTGCTTCGATACACACAAACACACTGTACCTTAAATACAAGATGATTTATTTATTTATTTTTAATTTAGACTTTCTTCTTTATTTTTAATGATTCAGTTGGTTCATCCCCTGGACTTCTTTAGTAGAAATGTAGTTCATTACCAACTTTAATGCATTAATAGCTTCACTTGAAGCAAGTGAAAGATTTATAAAAAAAAAAAAAAAAAAAAAAAACAGAATTATAGATAATTTCAAATTTCATTAATGAAACCTGGAAAGCTGAAGACATTTGTGCGGATTCAAAACCAATCCACAATTATACTGAAAACAATAGTAAAAATAATGAAAATTTCAGAAGAAAACAAAATCTGAAATTTACATTTGGGGCAAAAGGTCAATCACAATTCAGATATGAGCACAATTAAATTTAAAATTTTATGAACTTGTAAAAATTGTTTATAATTCCTTCTAGAGATTTTGCCAACACTTATCACTTAGTATATAATTTATCTTTTTTTTTTAATCTTTTCACAGTAGCTATTATGAGATAAAGAACTAATCTATTGCTTATAAGATTACACACTTTTGCTTGGAAGAAAAACCATTCAATGTTTCAAATATTATACTGAAAAGAATTAAAAAGAGCTTTCTGTTAGCCACCATATACCACCAGTTTTCTAGAAACTGATGTGACACCACCTTTAGTCTGGAAAAAAAAAAGCACTACATATAGTTATGAAGGTAAAAAGCTCAAGCTTTGTTCAAGCAATTAACCTCTTCCTTTATGACATTATCACAGCATTTCAGCTGATTCAATTTGTAGACTTTTTTTAGCGCATTCAGAACTGATTAAGGAGATGCTTATCTCATTATCACAAGTGGTGAGTTTTGATCTAGTTGCCCCCTTTTTATTCTTTTGTAAATAAAATAACAGATGATGCCTTACTCATCCTATGCAATTTGTGTCTTAAGACCCACAGAAGTATTTCCATTTTCAGCTTAATGGGGATGCTAATGCTTTCTTTAGCAATATCAAATTAATTCCTGTTCCTTTATTGCTCTCTCTCTCTTTCTCGTATTCTTTCACACTTAGTAACATATTGTGTCTTAGTGGCTTTATTGCTTTGCTTGGGGTTATTTACAGTCCAACTAAACCTGTTGGCCTTTTCAAGTGTCTATTGATCTGAGTAACCTCCAGGGATTTACCAATTTCGCTGAGGGTGACCTTGATCAACAGATGCCTGAAGAAGACTGGAGAACACAACAGCTGAAACTGTTTTTGATTGATGGATTTGTTTTCTATGGTTCATTGACCCTTTGCAGGTTATTTAAAGCCAGAAAGTATTTTTAGATTGTAATAAATTTTTTTTTTTGAGAGAAAAATATTATTTTATGATACAAGTCTTACTAATTAACCCATAGCTGGTGGGAGAAGAGGTAGATTCACATTTTTCCCCAATTTATTTTAAGTATTTGTACATGAGTGAATATAATGAACTTAATTGGAATTAGTAGTCAGCTTTCCATTTAACAATTCTGAGCCATTATCTATTACACCACCTGCACATACAAACTTACAGCCCCTAGTATTCCCAAGTGGTCACCCATTGAGGTACTAATCAGGCTTGATGTTGCTTAACTTTGGTGATTGCTCAGGAACTGGTGTTTCAATGTGATATGTCCATAAACCACCTGAAACATTGTTGTAATAATAACAACAAAGATGATGACACATCAACCTGTAGGTGAGTCATGCAAGCCAGTAGATGCTAAAAGCACAATGTGGTTTCTTTTGCTTAGGAGGGTAAAAGTAAGAAAACACAAACAAAAGGTTGAAATGTCTCTTCTCACAGTTATAATACCAGGCAGGTTTACATGAAGGCCATAGATATTACTCTCAATTTTGTAAAATGTTATAATTTGCATATAACATTATTTTGATTTATTAATAAAGATTCAACATAGATTAATTTTTTTTTTGAATTGTTATTTGTTAATTGACTATTGAATGAGACAAGAGTTCAATTGTACATTGTTTGTTTGTTTAGTTAGCTAATTCAAAAATAATGAAAGTGAACTTTTTCTTTTATCCAAATTGCAAAAAAAATAAAAAATACAGCTCAAATCTAAAAAAAAACTATGAACTGCTTTTTTATTTATATTAAAAAGCAAAAGATAAATGCTTATCTTAAAGGAATTCTCAAATGAGTCAATCATCATTATTTCATTAATTTTGTTTTCTAAATAATCTTTTAATATTTTATTGCCAGGTTTCATCTGATAAATTATATACCTGAAGGAAGTTGAAAACTGTATTTGTTATTTAAGGGCTCCTTTTAAGGATCTAAAGATATATATTAGCAAGTACACAGAGAGGCCATGAGACAAAATGTGACAAAGCCAGAAAAAAAAAAAAAAAAAAAAATGAGATTACTTGTCCAGACAACTTGTAGAATAATGGAATATATAATGGGCATTTTAAAAATGATTTATAGAAAATTTATCACTACAATCTTAAAGTGGTATAGGGTCAACTAACTAATCCTATATATTTCATAATATGTAATTAATTTTTTTTTTTTTTACAAAGGTCATATCATGTTGAAACACCAGTTCTATCCAGCTAACTGAAGTTATTGAAAATTAGTTTTTAAATGTTAAATAATTATGGATGGCCATTTGGTTTAATGCTGTAAAATTGATGCATGGTGTTTAATATGATAATGGCTCAAAATTGGAAATTTCATTCCCATTCCAGTTGGATTTTTTTATATTCTTTATAAAAAAAAAATATCAGTCCAAATTTTTTTTTAACCTATTCAATTGTTGGTTAAGCTATTTAATCATCCTTCCTTTATCCCCTTACAATTTAGAATTCAGCAAAATATGTGAATAATAAATTGAAAAAACTAGCAGAACTACAAAAACAGTAAAATTCATTGCAGATCAAAATTCAATACTTTTAAAATTTTGACAAAATCTTAAAAGGAGTTTTCATGTGAAATTTTTTTTTTTTTTTTTTTAAAAATTTTAGTTGTTCAAAATCAATTACATTTTATGGGTGAAAAATTATTACCAATCTTTAAAAATTCTAAAGATGCAATATAAATGAAAATTTTTTAAAATTCTATAACTATTGTTTTCTATTCAAATTAATTTAAAGTTCCACTAGTTCAAACATTTTTTTGTTAAATCTGTTTTGTATGTACACAGGATCAAATCTGTGTCCTCATTCCTTTTCATTTATTTCAAATCTCTAAAATATTGTGACATTGGTTCCCAGAAAATTGACATTTTGTTAAACAACATTAAAGAAGACAAATAATTTTTTTACATGAAACTTCAAATCTTATAGATTTGTTCTTGTCAAAGACATCATTCATTTGAACTTTTTGGAACATTTATTATTTTCTTTTAAATTGACTTTGTTTTTTCTTTTTAGATATGAATTTTTTATTATTCACAATTTTATGAATTTATTGGAACAGACTCAAGATTGATGAAAATTTATTAATTCCTAAGGTATGATTTTGTGGAACAGACCTTAAATTATATATTTAAATTATAGAATCAAGATATATATATTCTTTGTGGAACAGACTTTTCATTTTAATGTATTCCAAAAAATTTTTTTGTTTTGAAATAACAGCATTTAGAAAAACTTTTATTATGTATTATATTTTAATTTCAATTAAAAAATTCTAGGGGGTTCTATAAATATCTTATATATAATTATCCTCTTAATATGCATTTATGGTCCTTTTTATTTTCTTTTTCTAAAATATGTTTTCTATTTAAAAATGGATTCCTTTATATGAAAGAAAAATTATTCATCATAATATATATATATATATATATATATATATATATATATATATATATTTTATTTATTTATTTGAAAGAAAATAAAAAAATAGAATTATTTTTTTTTTTTTGTTGATTTATTTTGACAGTTAATACTTTTATTTGCTTTACCATTGATTTTGTTTAAATAGACATTAAAACCATAAAATATTAAAAATGTTTTTAAACTAATGATTAAAAAATAACATGTATAAAATTATGCTAAATACATCTAAACTCAATGTGTGCACACTTAGATGAAAACTTATTTAAACAAAACAGATTTTTGTTTTAGGTTAAAAAATTTTTGTAAAATAAAAAAAAATGGCCTTTTGTTTTATTTGGATGAAAAAGGAACATTAAATGGCTTTTAGTTACTTTTTGATCAAACATCATATAAAAATTTGTATTGGTTAAGGAATGGATTGTCTCCATCAATATTTTGTCAATGTAAACAAAGTTATCATGTAAAAAGTTGATGAATTTGTATTTGGAACAAGGAAAAGGATTCCACGAAAAGCAGAATTGCCAAAAGTAGTTGCAAAAAGTTTCTTAAATTATATAATTATTCTGTTATTAACAAAATTTTTGCAATATGTGCACTGGTCCTTATGGTTTTCCTTAATATTCAAGGAGTATGGGGACATAACTCAATACGGTAGGAGTTGTTGCTGTGATTTCTATAGCAAGTAGTAATTAGAAAATGGAGTTGCTATGCCCATAAAATACAGTTTAATATGTTTAAAGGATACAGAGGCTGAAAACTAAGGCTGAAAACTCAGTCTGCTCAATTAGTTAACCTATAGTTGAGAGGAAAAGAGATGGATTAATACTTTTCCCAAAAAGTATGTGTGTGAAAGTAAATGCAACAAACTAGACTGGAATTACATTAATCACTTTAATTTGCACTTAATACATAAAAGGGGAAAAAACCCAATTGAACTGTATTTCAATGTATCATTCACTAAATGTAACAAAACTGTTCAATTTTATGATAGACAATGACAAGTATATACTTTACAACAATGTGGAACAAAAGAGATAACAACACAAATGAAATGAACCATATTAACCATAACAAATACTGACTTCATTTATGTTGTATATAGTGTGATAGGAAGAGAACTTCTGAAAAAAAAAACAAAAAAAGCCAAAAAACAAACAATTGATTCAAGTAAATACTGCTCTAAATTATACCAATTTAAGGCAGTTATCATTGAAAAGTATTTGAAATTAGAGAAATGGTGTAATAATTTAGCTCATTTACTTTTTGGGGGCACCAAGCAAAAATTGTTATAGCTTGGCTAGAAATTGTTACTCATCTGCCATATTTAACAGATATTGTATCTTTAGATTTTTTTTTTTTTTTTTTCAACATTCTCTTAATGGTTTTAAAATTAAATTTCCTTTTACATTTTTTAAAAAACCTTTTCATCAATTTTCTACTGAGAAAGATTAAAAATAAAAAAAAAAATTCTTTTTATGTAATTCAGTTACATGAAAAATGGCAATATATACAAAATTTTTTAATATGTTTTTATAATAAAGTTAAAAATTTGAAAATAGAAAAAAAATGTCTTGTTTTATCAAAATTTCAATACACAGAAAAAATAAATAAAAACCAAATAAAATTTCCTTAATATTGATGACATGCTGCACAGCACATTTATAAAAAAATGATTTCACAAAGGATGTCCTTGTCAAAAGAGGCAACAAAAGAATCAGATATATGGTATACAGTGGCAAAATTTTAACAAAGATCATATGATGTGTTTAATTAATTATTTTAATAATATAAGTGAATTGTATAAGTGACAGGATCAAATATACAGATCTAAGTTTTAAACTATATATATATATATATATATATATATATACACACACACACACACACAGAGGGTGCAGTGGATAAATTGTCATCTAAATTACACAAAAATGAAAATAACATTGACATCTCATTTTAACATATCTATTTACAAAAATTACACAAAAATAACTTGAAAGTAAATTTATTCAATAAAATCACCATTGGTTCCAGCCATGGCCAGCAGCCAACTTCAGAATCTCCTGCAACTCTTCTGGACAGTCTTCTTGCTTAGGTTGGTGAATGCTGCCATAATCCTTGCCTTCAGTTCATCTTTGGTGATACAAGGAGTTTTGTTGGTCTCTTACTCAACTGCGCCCCACACATAATAATCAAGGGCGTTGCAGTCTGGGGAGTTAGGTGGCCAGATGTAAGGGGTGATGTGGTCACAGAAATTGTCTGACAAACATGACTGGGTTCTCCTGCTTCTGTGGCATGTTGCCAGACATAGGGTCTTCCAGCAGCCACCCTCTTGACCCAGGGCAGCACTCTACCTCCTCAAGGCACTTGATGTAGGCCTCCATGTTGAGTCTGAGGCCCTCACCAACAAATTTGGGAGTTCCTTTCTTATCAGATCAATCAGCTTTCAGAGCTGCAATACCTTTGTAATCACTATCAGACTCATCCAACTCTTTCCGAATCCTTTACACTCTTCTCAGAGTGACACCCAAACACTCTGAAATGTTCATATTAGAGCTTCTGACACAAGTGCCAAGCAGTACAACATGCTGTTTCCAAATTTCTGGTGGAGTGAATTGCGTCACAGATGGTTCCCAACTGACCCTACCAAGCACAAAATTAAAATATAAAATGGTGTAAAAAAAAAACAAAAACAAAAAAATGTGTGTAAAATTAAATTCATATAATGGTGTAATTTATACTAATATATTGTATATTGTCCTTGGGTATTAATACAGGCCTGTACTATCACAGGCATAGTTTTATACATATGGTGAAAACCATCCTGCTATATATT